ATAGAGCAACCACTGAGCAATGTATTGCCTCAATGGACTACATTTAGCATCAACCCCGACATCCATACAAGAAGCTGTCAAAGTGTTCCTTTATTTTAAAGAACAGGGAGGCAGGTAAAGACTTTATTCAGGGGAAGACTTAAATGTATCTTACTGTGCTGGGTCCCTAAGAGACGGTTGAACACCTCCTTCACCACAATGGGGTTGAGTTTGATGAGCTTCGGGAGAGCCTGGATTACTTCATTCTATGGGAAAAGTGAAAGATGTCATCACAATGATCACGCGGTGATTGTTTGCTGTATGTGGTGTGATATCTTTTTTTTTAAGTATAACTGGTTCCAAATCAGTTTACTAGACCATTGATGCGAGTTGCAGAACTGTACCTTTTCGAGGCCGTTTATGACTGGAATCAGGAAACGTACATCGGGCACTCGTTTGTGGTACAGGTCTCGCACTCTCTCCACCAGCTCTGGAGACGGGGGCACTGCAGGAGAGAAAAGAAAAATTATTCTACATGTCTATACTTTTCCTATCCTGACTTTATCCCACAGTGCTGTTGTTCCATGTTTGGTTTAATTCTCTATTCATTGACCCTAATTCTCCAGACAGATGTAAGGTGATGTTCAATCTTTTTACCTTTATCGGTCAGAATGTGCAGACAGCGTGTAACTAACGTCTCCGCCCCTTTAGGACAGTTTTCCACCAGCAGCAGCAGCTCGGGCGAGTTCATCCCCATCCCACGGATCTACAACAAGGGTGGAGAAAATGACTCGATGCTATTTTAAAACACCACAACTCAAGATGAGCATTTGCATCATGTAAATGCATGTTTGTGCAATTTAGTGTTTTCCCCCACAAGATGTTTTTGTAAACACAAACAGTTCTCCCAAAAATCACGAGTGTGCAGTTTTCATGTCACAGGTTTGAAACTGCAGGGGTGTTCTGGCTTTCTTTGGTCTTAAAAACAGTAAAGCATTTGCACTGTTCACTGTAGTTTGCCATCACCAGTTAAAAACACATGAAGAAATACAGTAGATAAACATCAAGTCCAACAGTCCGGACTCTGCGCTCAGCTTAGTCATGCTGGGATTCTTATTTTTGTCTTGGCACAATCATTTAGTCATTGAGTTTAAATATTACACTTTTCCTTATTGAATAAAAACATTTATAGTGCTTCTATGTTTCTTAGCTGTTTAGAGCGAGTTGTTTGTTTTCACAAATATTGATGAACATTATTATTTATATATAACAATAATTGAAACAGGGTTCTTTAAGAAGACCCAAACACTGGAGCATTCCTCAATGATCAGTGAAAGAGTCAGCTGTGCTGAGAGCGGGAGACTCACAGGCTGCTCAATGGCTCGCAGCACGCTGCGCTTGATGTCAGCGATGGCCTCGGTGTAGACGGACGCCAGCTCGTGGACCAGCCGGTGGTTGAGAGGCAGCAGGGACAGGTAGAGGAAGAGACACTGTCTCACCGTCTCTTCAGTCCAGGGGGCAGCCACCTCTGTCTCAACAAACACATAACAACACTGTGAGAGGACAGGACATTGGGGAAGTACTCTCTGATAACACAGAGAGTTGCAAGCAGCTATTGTCTGAGATCGCATGATGTAGTATTGTTAGATGTGCCAAGAGCAAGGACTGTCTTAGGTAAGACAGCTTTTATGTGCGCAGCTCCACTTGCTTGGAACAATCTTCAGCAAGAATTAAAACTGAGCAATTTCATTCCTCTGCACGTTCTTAAAGCTAGGATAAATGAAATTTAGTTGATACTATGGGCACTTGTAAATGTCTATAACTATGTAAATGTATCCTGTAAATATAATGTATGATGTCCTTTATTGTTTTATGTTTAATGTGGAACCTATATGCTGCAGGTCTCCCTTGAAAAAGAGATCTATGATCTCAATGGGACCAATCTGATTAAATAAAGGTTTGAAATTAAATGAAATGAATAATAAAATGGCGGCTTCACAAAACTTTTTGGGAGTTTTACGGGGCGTGGTTTGTATTCCGCCCAGCCAATCAGACATAGGAACCTTTTTCTCCCACGAAAGTACCTGCTCTCTAGCAGGGACGGAAAAGGGGGTAAAAAAGGTTCTCATGAACTAATTTTAGTTCCGGCTCTTTTTGGTGTGAACGTGACACTTCCATGCCCGGCGCCGTGGGAGGGCCAGGCCCTCCCATTTGACATTCCTGCCCTCCCCCAATAAACACGTATCCGACAGATACGCGAGGAAACAAATAAGGAAATTAGTACTTTGGTGCTGATCAGCTGGCACGGAACCATTATTACGTGTCAGCTGTCGTTGATATTATAGCTTTTTTAGCTGTCAACCAACTCAC